TAAAATTTTTTTTCCTAAAATTTTGTGTTATTAAAATAGATCAGCACAAAATAAAATGTATGTATATTTTTAGGTATATTATAATTCATTTTTGGGGGGGAGAGGGGGTTATAAAAATGTTTTCATAATTATTAAAAAGGTTGGGGGGGGGGGGGTTATTGAAAGGTTGAAAGTTATTGCCGGAGGGGGGAAAGGGGGTCAAAAATTGCTTTAAAAATGTTGACGTAATCAATGGACGGACCCCCAGGCGCTGTTTAAAGATTATAATATTTTTCAAAAAACTTTTAAACATATCTATTTGTCTAGACAAAATATTGTAAGTTACATATTTTTAAAAATCTTATAAATATAGCTAATAGTTAAACCAGATCAACTTGGCCGCAGACACACGGATGAAGAATCACTGCTTAATGGTGACTGGCCTGGTAGTTAATGAATGGGAGAGCTTTCACACGTAAGTCCAATCACTACAAAAACTTCGAACATTTTAATGGGTTTGAACGAAGTATTGTAATATAAATCAATGAAATAACGGAAGACAAAAGCAGAAAACGAAGGGTGATATTTAAACAGTTATAAATGATAAGGTTTGAATAAATGCATGCGTAAAATACCGATCCATAAACACTGAGTTTTGTACAGTTGTGTAATTTATGGTGTGTAGTGGTGGCCATCTATATGTTGACATGATGCTACAGTGTGTAGTGGTGGCCATCTTTATGTTGACATGATGCTACAGTGTGTAGTGGATGGCCATCTTTATGTTGACATGATGCTGCAGTGTGTAGTGGTGGCCATCTTTATGTTGACATGATGCTACAGTGTGTAGTGGTGGCCATCTTTATGTTGAAATGATGCTACAGTGTGTAGTGGTGGCCATCTTTATGTTGACATGATGCTGCAATGTGTAATGGTGGCCATCTTTATGTTGAAATGATGCTACAGTGTGTAGTGGTGGCCATCTTTATGTTTAAATGATGATGCTACAGTGTGTAGTGGTGGCCATCTTTATGTTGACATGATGCTGCAATGTGTAATGGTGGCCATCTTTATGTTGAAATGATGCTACAGTGTGTAGTGTTGGCCATCTTTATGTTGAAATGATGCTACAGTGTGTAGTGGTGGCTATCTTTATGTTGACATGATGCTGCAATGTGTTATGGTGGCCATCTTTATGTTGAAATGATGCTACAGTGTGTAGTGGTGGCCATCTTTATGTTGAAATGATGCTACAGTGTGTAGTGGTGGCCATCTTTATGTTGAAATGATGCTACAGTGTGTAATGTTGGCCCTCTTTATGTTGAAATGATGCTACAGTGTGTAGTGTTGGCCATCTTTATGTTGAAATGATGCTACAGTGTGTAGTGGTGGCCATCTTTATGTTGAAATGATGCTACAGTGTGTAGTGGTGGCCATCTTTATGTTGAAATGATGCTACAGTGTGTAGTGGTGGCCATCTTTATGTTGAAATGATGCTACAGTGTGTAGTGGTGGCCATCTGTATGTTGACATGATGCTACAGTGTGTAGTGGTGGCCATCTGTATGTTGACATGATGCTACAGTGTGTAGTGGTGGCCATCTGTATGTTGACATGATGCTACAGTGTGTAGTGGTGGCCATCTGTATGTTGACATGATGCTACAGTGTGTAGTGGTGGCCATCTGTATGTTGACATGATGCTACAGTGTGTAGTGGTGGCCATCTGTATGTTGACATGATGCTACAGTGTGTAGTGGTGGCCATCTGTATGTTGACATGATGCTACAGTGTGTAGTGGTGGCCATCTGTATGTTGACATGATGCTACAGTGTGTAGTGGTGGCCATCTGTATGTTGACATGATGCTACAGTGTGTAGTGGTGGCCATCTGTATGTTGACATGATGCTACAGTGTGTAGTGGTGGCCATCTGTATGTTGACATGATGCTACAGTGTGTAGTGGTGGCCATCTGTATGTTGACATGATGCTACAGTGTGTAGTGGTGGCCATCTGTATGTTGACATGATGCTACAGTGTGTAGTGGTGGCCATCTGTATGTTGACATGATGCTACAGTGTGTAGTGGTGGCCATCTGTATGTTGACATGATGCTACAGTGTGTAGTGGTGGCCATCTGTATGTTGACATGATGCTACAGTGTGTAGTGGTGGCCATCTGTATGTTGACATGATGCTACAGTGTGTAGTGGTGGCCATCTGTATGTTGACATGATGCTACAGTGTGTAGTGGTGGCCATCTGTATGTTGACATGATGCTACAGTGTGTAGTGGTGGCCATCTGTATGTTGACATGATGCTACAGTGTGTATTGGTTGCAATCCGTATGTTGACAGGATGCTACAGTGTGTAGTGGTGGCCATCTTTATGTTGACATGATGATAAAAGTGTGTTGGTTGTGGCCATCTGTATGTTGACATGATGCTACAGTGTGTTGGTTATGGCCATCTGTATATTGACATGATGCTACAGTGTGTAGTGTTGGCCATCCGTATGTTGACATGATGCTACAGTGTGTAGTGGTGGCCATCCGTATGTTGACATGATGCTACAGTGTGTAGTGGTGGCCATCCGTATGTTGACATGATGCTACAGTGTGTAGTGGTGGCCATCTGTATGTTGACATGATGCTACAGTGTGTAGTGGTGGCCATCTGTATGTTGACATGATGCTACAGTGTGTTGGTGGTTGTCATCCGTATGTTGACAGGATGCTACAGTGTGTAGTGGTGGCCATCTGTATGTTGACATGATGCTACAGTGTGTTGGATGTGGCCATCTGTATGTTGACATGATGCTACAGTGTGTTGTTGGTGGCCATCTATATGTTGACATGATGCTACAGTGTGTTGGTGGTGGCCATCCGTATGTTGACATGATGCTACAGTGTGTAGTGGTGGCCATCCGTATGTTGACATGATGCTACAGTGTGTAGTGGAGTGGTGGCTATCTGTATGTTGACATGATGCTACAGTGTGTAGTGGTGGACATCTGTATGTTGACATGATGCTACAGTGTGTAGTGGTGGCCATCTGTATGTTGACATGATGCTACAGTGTGTAGTGGTTGCCATCTATATGTTGACATGATGCTACAGTGTGTTTGTGGTGGCCATCTTTATGTTGACATGATGCTACAGTGTGTAGTGGTGGCCAT